TCAAACACATAGTATTCCTATAGCAAGTGCTTCACCATCTGATTATTATAATATCAGAAGGTGGAACACCGGTTATAATGTTACGCATTGTTAATCTACTGCATCAATATATAAATAGACCATTCATTTGGACACTGCACTAAGCGACATCTAGATGAACGAAGAAAGCAATTCTTTGTTTCGAGTTTCGTTTTCTTCTCATGATTGGAGGGAAAAGCATTTTTCTCTCATTCTAACGGTCTACACACGATTGATTAAGACGTTTTTTAGATCTATTTCTTTTATTCCGATGACTTTCGAAAAGAACAAATTACAAGTAAATATTATATTTTTTCCACATATATCTACATATATATATAATTTTTAGTTTCCAACTATAAAAGATTTTATTTTTCTTAAAACCATAAGTCGAGGTGGTTATGGGTTAGTAAATATTAATTTTCTCTATTTTATGAAAAAAACGATTATCAATTTGTTTTTTCCATTTAGACGAGTTTATTTAGCTACAAAGAAAAATGATGAAAATAAAACAAAATATGCTATTAAAGTTATTAATAAACATGATATACGAAAGAAAAATTTAATTGATCAAAGTAGAAAAAAAAAACAAGTTTTCAAATATTTGGTTTTTTAAATTCTTTATCTTTTTCTATTAGTTCTTAATGAACGTGATGCATTAGCTACAATGCATAGTCAATTTGTTGTTCGTCTTTATTATTCATTACAAACAAAAGATGAAATATATTTAGTTATGGAATATATGATTGGTGGAGATTTAATGTCATTTTTATGTATTAAACAAGTACTTGAACGACATGAAGCACAATTTTATGTTGCAGAAATTGCACTTGCACTTGATTATTTACATCGAAAAGGTGTTATTCATAGGTAAGAATTACAAAATTGATTAGAAAATTTTTTAATTTTATTTATTATTAAGAGATTTAAAACCAGATAATGTTTTAATATCAGCAACTGGACATATTAAATTAACTGATTTTGGACTATCGGAAATTCGAAATAGACGAAGTAGATTTGATTTGATTTGATTAATTCTGATTTAATTAAACAAGATCTATTTTAATTCTTTTAGAAGTTTCAGTTGCCGATGTTATTGGTACACCATCTGTATGTAAAGTACGTGTATTTCGTACACCTGGTCAAATTATTTCATTAACATCAGATTTTAGTTTTGTAAGTTTAATTATGTAAATTTCGAATTATTAGTTTTTTGTTTTGTTTTGTGCATTAAATATTTAAGTCATCAAGTGATTCAGATTCTGAACATTTACATATATCAACATCAATACATAGTAATCCAACTAGTATTATATCAAATGAAAATATTCCAATAAATAATAGTTTTCATCATCATTCATTTTCATCATCACGTATTATTGATTGTAGTTTACGTGTTTATCGACAACCATTACCTTTATGTATACCTGAATATGAACCAATATCATTTGGATATGATGATATTATTGATGAACAACATGATGATAAAAATACCAGTAATATATCCGATTTTTTATTTTGTAGTCCTAAAGGACGATCACCAACAACATTACAAACTATTAAACAACAACCACGTATTTATCCAAAAACAATATCAAGATTACTTGCATCATCACCAGCTCATCAAAATCAATTTCGTTTATTTCGTGGTATAGGTCAAACATTAAATACAGCAACAACCAATACTTTAACTATTCCAACATCAGCATCACCATGTTTATCACCAATTCGTTATTCACTTGATATATCATCAATTAATCAAATTCAATCAACTCATATTGATGATGAATTAATAGAAACAACACAACCACTAAATCATCGTTCGCTACCAATCGATGATTGTTCAGTGAAAGTTTGTATTTTAAGAAAACAAAACGTTTAAAAAGCAGTTTGGTTGATCTATAGATTTATAACCTCAAAAAAAAATCTCTTCTCAAAATTGTTTAGATTTCCTAAAAAATTATGGAAATAAATACAATACAATAGAAGATTCGGATCTTCTATTCCAAGATGAGGAATTATTTTTTATAACCAAAAACAAAACTGTTCTTTTTGTGTTTCGATGACTTGCTCATTAGTATATGTGAGCAAGATGGTTTCGGTATACACCTGGACCAAATTTAAATGGGACGGAACTAAGGCCAATTTTTTTTGCCGGGATCGGACCTAATTTTATTTCTTGGACGCGACCTAGGCCAAGGTGTTTTTTTGGTCCGAACCGGGACCAAATTTTATTTTGGACGGGACCGTGGGGCTCGGTTTTTTGGTCGAGACCAGGTCTACTTTTTTTCTTCTACGGAACCGAGGCCAAGGTGTTTTTGGTAGAGCCCTGTGGTTCCTTTTTCGGTCCCTAAAATTTTTGCTACGAACCGATGATTTTACCGTAACATACAAAATACCAAGTAATTGAGTTTTTTTTAGAAATTTCTAGATTTTATCTTCGGGACTCTTCGTTTTTATTACTTCATCAAATAAGTAGTTCCTTCAAAAGTTAGAAGAAAAAGTCATATAATGAGATAAAACACTAACATACAATATATTCATATGAAATATTAATATTACAAGCTCTAAAAAACATCTAGTTCATCATTTCCTTATTCTCTCAATGATCATGATCAAAAAGAACAATATCATCTTCGTTACTCATTCTAAACGTCTTTTTTATTGTCGTAGTTGTAAATTATTATTTAGTTTGGATAGGAGATTGTAGAAGATGACTGTTCAACCATGTTTCTTTTCGTTTCTGTTGTATCAACTTCATCAATTTTTCTCATCACATGACTTTAATAATGCTAAATTTTTCTGAATAAATAACAATAGGAGTATTTTTTCTGCACCAAGATCGATGCACTTATCGATACTTGTGTTTTTTGCAGGCGAGAACAGTCCTTCTACAATGGTGTTCGATGTTTTTACAGCATCAAAATCTTCAGCTATAGAAAATAAGATCGATAATTTTAAATTCTGTTATCGCGGAATTATAAAACATCATCATGCCCACTGAATGGGACATTTGATGGCATATACTCATCTAAGTCATGCGGCGTTGTTAACAATATTAAGAAATTTTGTGGTATATCAAAACAGTATGAACAGGTGATGGAGTAGTAGTTGTACATGTAGTAGATAGTATTGCTGGCTGCCGTTTAATAGTTTTCGTTTTAACTGACTTAAGAGCTTTTTCTTGAAGACCTGGATTACTACGAAAACTTTTCATGGATAAATGAAGAAAGGTACTGATATAATGTGTATCGTGCAATATCTAAACATCTTGAAACTCTCACCCTCAAGAAAAATTTCGATTCCTAACGGTTCCGGGTAAGAGAAATAGAAAAATCCGGTTTTCGGTTCCATTTTTTTTGGAACCGCAGGGCTCTATTTTTTGGTCGGGACCAGACCTAATTTTTTTCGACCACAATCAGGAGCAAAGTTTTTCGTCCAACGTCTCTTCATTAGAAACGATACCTTTGATGGTCGTGTAAAACTTGCGTCGAATGTCATATAGTCACAACTCATGTATTCTAATTAGATATGGATGAGGTTGTCCCCGTTCCCGCTGAGATCGGGACCAAATACGACTGGTCTCGCTTATGTCCACTCATTAGGTCTGTTCTTCTAAAAAGCAACGATTTTTTTGTAGATTTCGCTTGAACGAAAGGGATGATAAATAAAATTCAATTTGTTATTTGACTTATTGATAGATTGATTTAATATCTTTGGAAATCAAATTATAAATAATAATGCCTGTTTTTGTTATTTATTTAGTCAGTATGTCGAGCTCAAAATATTTCAGCTGGTCGAATATTAAATGATGTAACTAATAATACTTCAGTTCGAAGTAGCTTTCTTAAATCACCAATACATCCAACTGCATCAGGACCTGTTTTGGGTACACCGGATTATCTTAGTAAATATTTTTTTTTTATGTTTTATTTTTTCAATAAACTTCTTTTTTTTTTCTAGGTCCAGAAATTTTAATGCAAGATGAAAATCATAGTAAATTTGAATTTTATTTTAAATTTTTAATTATGATTTTATTTAGCTCCAGCTGTTGATTTTTGGGCACTTGGTGTATGTTTTTTTCAATTTCTTGTTGGTATAACACCATTTTCTGATGATTGTCCACGTGCAATTATATCGAATATTTTAAATTATCGAATTGCATGGCCAAATGATGATGATGATGGAAATCAATTAGATGAAGATGCAATAAATGTTATTAAAGGTTTACTTAGTTATGATCCTAGTTTACGACTTCAATTAGATGGTAAAATAAATCAATGAATTCTTTATTAATTGATATATATATATATGATTATATTTAGATCTTAAAAAAGAACCTTTTTTTAATCAAATCGATTGGGAAAATCTGCCGAATACAGTTGCACCATTTATTCCAGTACCTGACAATGATTCAGATACATTCTATTTTGAAGGTAAATCCTTTTTTTTTCTGTATGATAAAAAATAAAAATTTTGTTTTTTTTTGTTTCGTTTTAGCTCGAAATCGAGCAATCGGCTTTGATGAAGAATCAGTCGATTATTTATCAATGTTGTAAAAATGATTAATTATGGAACGGCTTGCAACAGTTGATTATTCTTATTTTTTTGCTTAAAAAATGTATATTATGTGTGCATGTATTTGGCGTCTATTTCAATATTTAATCGCCGTCATTCATACGTTAAATATCTTTCTCTTCTCCTTTTTTTTTTTGATCTTGTCTTGATCGTTCTCTCTACTGTTTGTATATTGTATAATTCTATGTCAAATACGTGTGTATGTATTGTGGTAGTTGAAATAACAAAAATATCGATTCAATGAAAAAAAAAAAATATTTATAAGTTGTTGTATTTAAAGAGCAAAGAGACTCGTGATCATAGATTACTTTGAAATGAATGACATGCTGTGTCGATACAGAGAAGAGAAAGAAAAAGAATTCTGTCAAAATTTTGACGTATGAAATCATTTAATAAACAGCATCATGTCAGCAAGTAAGATGTTTTATGTATATTTAATGTTATTTTAAGGTAGCAAAAAAAAAAAAATTTATAATAGATCATGAAGATTTATCAACAATAGTTGAAAATGGACCTCAATCAAGTCTTGATATAATTGAAGAAATAGAATGTAATGATGATGGATCTTTAGAAGAAGTTTCAAAAATAACAACTGATACAAATCGATTTCGTATATTATGTGATAATGTTCAAAATTGTTTTTTTCATATGGATAATTCAATGTTTGAATTACTTGGATTAAAAGATAAACTTCTTCGTCAATCTATACCATTAAATGTATCATTACATATAACACTTGTTTTATCACGATTCTATCGAGCTTATTCTCAAACACAAATACCTATTTATGAACTTATTCGTCTTGTTCAATTATATAGTGAATCATTTGATATGAAATGTATTCCATTTAAACGATTATATGATAGTAATGAAATAAATAAACGTCTACTTAAAATAGCTTTTCAAAGATTAACATCAATGGAAAATAATACAAAAAAATATGAAGAACAAAAATCTATTAATAATTGGGAAAAAATGTAAACGATACAATCAATTTAATTCTATATAATTGAATAAATGGTTGTTTTTTTTTTTGTTAGGTATATTCATCTTGTATTACCACGATCAAATATACGAAAATGGAAATTTCGTATAAAAATATTTCGAGAAGTAAATATTATAGATAAAACTCTATTGATATTTTTAATTATTATTAGAAAGCCAATCTTGGTTATGAACATGTCATTGAATGGCTTCATCAAAAAATACCACGATCATCATCTGAAATTTCATCTAATAGCCAAATCAGCGATGATCAAAATACAACAGATGAAATTTCTCATATACAAAAACTACCAACTGATTACGTTTGTTTCATATTTTTCTCTTTAGATTTAATACTAAAATTATACACTTAGGGTTCCGATGATTATGAAATCGGTAGTAATAATAATAATAATAATAATAATGAAGACAATCCTCTCAATAATACTAGCAACCAAGAGCTACATCAAACTGAACAAAAACCTACAGTGACTACAAATGATATTGAGATTCAAGCACAACCTGATTTAGATGATCAACAAACATCAACTGAAGATATTCTATCAACTAAGTAATTTTGTTCTAAAACGATCTACGAGGAATATTGAGTAGAAATTTGCACCTCCCTCCCTCAGGTAGAACCCGTTCAGTCCAAGATTTTTGGACCCGAACCCGCTTGTTTAAAAGATGTTGGATCCGGATCCGGCCGCTTAAATTTTTTGGATCCAAGCACGATGATAAATCAGTTTTGATAATATATTCAAAAAATGTTTTATTGTTTTTATTGTCTATTTCCTAAATGCATTCAATTTTTTTTTCTTCATAAAACGAACAAAATTTTGAAAAAATTCACAATACATTGTATGCATCAAAGTTTTCTTCAGAGCTGGATCCGACCTGGACCCAGTCACAGCAAAGCTTTCAGGCCCGAAAACCGATCCGAACTCGAGCGGGCCCGGATCCTACCCGACGTGTTCTACTCCCAGGCATCCCTACCAACATCTTCCCTTCATTGGAAACCGTGACAGGCATAACCATAGAGACGTCACATACTGTAGATCAATAACATCTTGTTATTATATAACGGATGACCCATAAAGATTGAGACATTTTAATTTTCTTTTTCTATTTTGTTCTTCAAAATACGTTTCTCCTGTTGTAGAAAAATCGAAAAGATTAAACATGAGTTTCGAAATACCATTAGGTGTTAGTTCCAAGTTTTTTGCATCTGAATGACATCATTAGGAGCTTTGCGAAGATTAAATTCTCTACTGAACGAACTTGGAATAGCGCCTTTGAACAATGTATGAATCACGCATTATAAACTACTTCCTTATTGCATTTTTGGAGAATTAAATAAAATGATGGTGAAGAAATATATAGCAAAATAGAAATAACTTTTTTTTCTTTCTATATTATAATTTTGGTTTTTATCTAGATCGCTTATTATGCGTATCTATCGACCTATAGGAATTTTAAAGACGAAATTTCAATGTATTATTTATGCTCATGGACAAATATATAAAAGCAATGTCTTTAAGTTTAATGTATTTATTGTCGTTATGTTATTTTCTAAATTGTAAATTGATCTTTGTTTTTTAGAAATCGAATGTATCAATAAATGAAAATAAAAAAACTGTTAGTCGAACAATAAAATCAATTAATTCGAGTAAATTTTATTATTAACAATTAATAAGACTTCTCTTTTTTTATTTAGGAACTATAAAACGTAGTGAAGTTTTAACAATTCTAAATGATAATGATATTAATACAATCGATAGAGAACAAAATGATGAAATTCTTATTCCAATGCCAAATGTTTTTAAACGTCGTTCATTATTTCAAACTGCTATTGATCCAGATGCTATAAAAATAGATATTTTCGGTGATGAAAAATTTTGCGGATCATTAATTCTTTCATCTGAAGATTTACACATGCTTGTAAGTATTAATAATTTATCACATAATTACATTAAAAAAAAACCAAACAAGCAAACAATATATTTAGAATTTACCAAATTTATATAATTCAATTTCATCATCTTTAATAGCTATTGATGATAATGTATCTAAAACTTCACTAGAAAAACATCAATTTAATTTTGATGATATATCAAATAAACTTTATCAATCATGGATTTCTCGTACACCGCATTTATTTTCAATTTATAATAATAAACATGAATCAATTGGCAAATTACCATTAATTATGTTTTGGTATAATCAAATTGAACAAACTCATGCAACAAAATGTACAAGTAATATTATCGAATAATAACTTTATAGAAAAGAATATAGGGTAAGATTTTAGAATACTTTAAATTTTTGTATTTGTGTAGTGACAATTCCAATGGAAATTGAGAAACCAATATCGAAAATAATTCCAATTCAAGAAAATGAAATCAATGAAGAATTGATTTCATCAATAATTGATGAAAATAATAAATCAATTGATTTCGAACTAATAAATGATCATATTGAAACTTTAAAACAAAGTTATGAAAATGAAATAGCTAAACTTCATGAAGACTATCAGTATGTGCATGATAAAATTTTTTCTTTTTGCTGTATTTAAATATATTTATATATAGAGCGGAAATTTATCGATTAATAAATATTCTTAATGAAATATCATCTAAACAATCAAATCAAATGATTGAAATATCACAATCTAATGAAAATCAAGCTGAAATGATTCAACAAGATCCATTAAATATAAATATACGGTATAGAAGATTAATATAAAAACAAAAAATAAAGAAATAATGATTCATTTTATAGACAACGACTACGACAAAATACAAGAAGTAAAGTTGTTATGGAACATCAACCATCACCAGTTTATGGCAAAGATCTTCCGAAAAATGTAAATTGTAATGATTTATAGTTCATTTGACTTGAGAAGGCGCTTTTAAAATTGATCTAACAAAATACAGCAGAGAATGATAGTCTTTTGAGGCGTCACAATCGATGAATTTGATCATATATAGTAATCTTTTAGAAGGAAAAGAAAATCAAATATTTAGAATTCATATGTTATCATATATAATCTTTGCTGTAAGTTTTCATTATTTCAAATAAGTCAAATAACTAAAGTTTCTATATATTATAAATCAGAGTTTTTAGAATATAGGAAAAAATATATATCTAAACCAGATATGTTGGCGGGTTAGCCCGTTTTGCTTCAACCCGCCCGACCCGTAACCCGCGGGTGGGATTAGACCTCTGACGGATCACGGGTTAGTATTTTCTAGATTTACGGGTTTCTCGGATCGGGTTATATTTTTATGTAAATCCACAGGCTCAACCCGTTTACGAATTTTGCTTTTCATCTTTAATCTTTTCTTTTTACATAGATTTATGCATGCATTCATTTCATTTCTAACTTTTCCCGATGATCGGTTTTGTCTTTTCCACTAATTTTTACTTTAACATCAAAATGCTTTCAATAATTTGTATTGACTATATCTTGATTCTAGTCGTTCATCTAATTGTTTTGAAGCATACAGATACATGAATGCGCTTCTATTTCGGAACTTGCTTGCATAACATACTAAGTTCGATCATATTTTTTTTGCATCTTCACATTTTCCCTGTTCGTTTCATCTTTTCTTAATATTTTTCCTATTTGTTTTGTCTTTTTGGTTTTTTCGAGCAGAGTGACGCAACAAAAGAATCTGTCTTTTCGTACGTGTATCACTTTTTATTATAGTTTGTGGTCAATAGCTCAGTCAAACTTTTCTAACGAGTTCAGTTACTGTCGAAAGATAGTTTCCTCAAGTTGTTCTTGTTTATTGTACTCGCAAATCACGTACAAAACCAAGCTTATTGAAAAACTTGTTATTAGTTCGACCAGTTTACAAAACGGGAATGAATGATATATAGTCTATCTAATTCTCACTTTTTTTGAACAGCTGTTATTATCATCATCATAATAGGAGCTGTCACTTTTTTTAAATTGTGAACATGAACGTATGTTATTACTTTCACTGGACTCTTTATCTCCCTGAGCTAAACTTCTAATTTTGTAATACTTATGGATGTACTCAGAAATAAAAGATAATATTTTAATGGTACATTTGTTTTAATAAAACGAATACAAAAAAACGAATGTATCGATTTACTAAACTTGTGAATTTTTTATAAATACTATCGCAATTAAATTTGCATTAACCCGCGGGTAGCCCGTGACGAGTTGAAGAATCGCCAATCCGTGGAGTAGCCCACGGGCCGAAAAAAATATCGCTCAACCCATCAAGTGGGTCGGGTCAAAAAAAATCACTCACCAGCATCTCCTGATCTAAACTTTATTTTCTTCTTAATTAATAGTAAATTTTAATTAATTACTTTTTAAACGAGAAATATGTCAATCATAGTAAGATTTTTACACCATTTGTTATTTAATCTCAATCATCTATTCTATATTCCAATCAAAATGAAAACATATAACAAGAAAAATAAAAAGGTTTCATCTCTTGAAATAATACATACATTTTCTTTGTTTACATCATGCTTTTCCTCATAAGAAACCATATCCTATTTGAGTAAGATGTCATGGCTTCGAATTGTGTTAAAAAAATTATAGAACACAAAGTCCATTTTTTTTTGCTTAAAGTTTCTTGATCGTTATCACATGTACTTACAACGAAGTATAACACATCGTCAACAATTAATTGCTAAAGTTGAACAAGAAACTGCATTAGCAAATGAACGTCAAATGGAAATTCAACATCGTTTACATAAATCGAAAGAAAATAATGAATGTGATGATGGTAAAACAAAAACAAAAAAAAAAGAAATTGAGTAGTTCTGTTTCTCTCTCTGTTTTTTGTTTCTTTTAGATTTATGTTTACCTGCTGTTTTTATGCCTTTTCGTTCGGGTAATGTTTTTAACCCAAGAGCTTATCAATTTTTTCATTCTATTGGTAAATATAAAAAAACATGAATTATTTCTTCCTTGAATTTTTTTTGTTTTTTGAATAAAAATAGGTTCAACTAATCCTCGATTAACTCAACCACCATCGATTTTAAAACTTCCATCAGTTCCATCAAGATCTGTAAGTTTTTTTTCTTTCTCTTAGATAAAAATTTTTTTTTGCTAAATATTTTATCTCATAGGCTTCTGTATTAAATCTATTTGAATTAAGTCAACGTTATGATAATTCGAATGAAAAAGATCATCTTATTGAAAAAAAAAACTGATTTAAATATCGTATGAAATCAATAATGTTTTAAAAATTCAAATATCAATTTTGAGAAAAAACAATGGTTTATTTTTATTATCACCGGGCTTTGGTTTTCTTTTTCTCTCGCTTGTATTTGTATTTATATATAAATAAATATGAATAAAGAAAAAAAAAAAAAAGAAGAAAAAGATCTCAATAGCCATTGAATCGATATTTCATCATACTTCGTTGAATACTTTGTGATGCTTTTGAGTGTGATAATGGTACATGGCGAACAGTTGTCGGTACAGTAGTAAGTACAGCTGGATATTGATTTCGTTTATTTAGCCCATCGACTCTATCACTATAACTGACAGTTTTATTTGAAACAGGTTCTGATCTATTGGTGAGAACAATCTAAAGAAATAAAAAAATTTTTAGATTGAAGAAAATTCCTTTTCGACTAGGAAGCTGTAGGTTCATATTTTCGTGGACCCGAACCTGACCGCGACCAAACTCGAGGTTTTTTTCAACAATACGTAGTATCCTTCGTATACTTGAACAAGTAATGGATCAAAATTTTAGCTATTTATTCGTCACTCTCAGAAAAAAAACTCAACATATAGTTATATCTTGTTGATGGATTTCTCATCTGGAAAGCAGCGGATCCAGATAAACCTATAACCGAACCCGAAAAAAAAGTAAAATTATGGATCCGAATCCGAGTCCACATCTAGAAGGACTCGCACCTCTCTATTTTCGACACTTGGAAAACACTGCATCGAAAAGCTTTGAAATTTTCAGAATAGATAGATTTTGATGAGTAGAAGAAAATTTGTCATAGGCTCAAAACTTCTAAATGTTTCCTTCTAGAAAATATTGAGGAAAGTCGCCTCTTATAATCGTCCTGCTCTGTCAGCTGTAATACATTTGATAGAGTTATTCATTAATTCATTCTTCAAAAACAGCGGAATAACTCAGGTTAATAATTTTAGCGTTCGAACACGTGATTTTTGCATCAACTATTAAAATAAGTTCAATAGATAGAAGATATTCTTAACTTACAGGAGATGGAGTACGTTGTATATGTGATAATGGTAGATTTTCTTGCTCTGTTGCTTTTAAAACATATACAGTAACTTTTTGTTGATTATGATCATCATAAATCATTCTATTATCATTAAATGTAGGTTTTTCATAATTATTGTTATGAATAGGTGGGGTTTGTCTAATATTATCATCAAGTGTTTTTAAATAATACATTTCTGATTTACGTCCAGTAGAATCTTGAAGAGGCATTGGTGAAACTCGATTATTGTTACTAAATGCTGATGATGAACGACGATTATGAATTTCATTATCATTTTCTACGTTTTTCAGATGATACAATTCAGGACCATTACTTGAAGATGGATAAGAATTTTCAATTGGTGGTGAAGATGATCGAAATGGTGGTTCATTATCTATTGGTTTCTGATTATTTTTTGCTCCAAGATGATATGTTTCTGGTTTTTTTCTATTGGAATCTTCAAATGATGGCGGTGTATATCGATCATTATTAATAATTGGTGGTGATTGATGACGATCATAATTAATTTTTGATTTTCGTGGAGTGAACGTGTCAGTCATTCTAATTTTAAGAAAATTTATTAATACTTATAAATCTTTTTTATTTCTTATTAAATTAAACGTTTTAATATTCGTCCGAAATAAGTACATCAGTTGAAAAAAGTTTGTCGTCTCTTTCTTTTTTTTTCTTCTTGTTTAATTCGTGTACAATAAAAAAGTGGTAGAATAAGCAAAGAAGAAAAAAAAAATAAAAACGTTTGTCAATAGAAACAAAGCAATACTCTATGTTTACTCGTAGGCAGGTCGGTAGAGTGGCAAGAAGCAAAGAATGAAAGTATTGAAAAGTAAAAAAAAGAAAAAAAGTCAAATATTGCTTCTTCTTTTTTTCTTGTATTAGTCATCCGATCGAGAAAAAAAAAGTTCATTGTAATACTATTTGAATCAAATGATCGATTGTATCGATTTGATAACCAATAAAAAGTGATTACAAAATTAAAACACGTATATCTCAGGATTAATGAACTTTTTAAGAGCTATTTTTGATATGTTATATGTATGTTAAGTTACTCTAAATACCCCGAAAAAATCAGCGCTAGAGATCCTGGTTCAGAGAAGTTATCGATAAAAAGCAAACGTTAGGGACGTAGCATGAGAAAGAATATCGACTTTCATTTTATGCATTTTTGATTTTAAAAAAAATTCGTATTGAGACATCATTTTTGAAAACTAAATAATATATTCTATCGACAACTTCTGTGGCTACAAATCTCTATCGAAAGTTTTCTTCTGAGAATGCCTGGATTTTTCAAAAAAAAAAACGATTTACTTTTCGTTAACAACGTGATGAAGTACGAATATACAAATGAAAAATGCTCTTATAATCGAATGAGAAGTTCAAAACGATTTTTAAATGGTACCAATCCTTCTTCACAATCTCTAGAAAACCAGTTTTTCAGGGAACCGCTTTCCCAACCCAAAATTTTCAGTTTTTTTGTTTTTATTTTTTGTGTTTGTTATATAGATGTAGATGTCCTGCATCTAATGAGCACATTTTAAGAAGACTAAACCATCTTTTTACATGTTAAATGCTCAATTTTGTACTAAAAAAGCCAAAAAGTGCAACTTTCTTTGCGTTTTTCTCAAAAGCAGATTTTCAAACAAAAAATGAAAGTTTCCCCTCTTTTTCTCCTAAACGATAAAGCCGATTAGGTTCAAACATTTTTTAGGGATAATTAGCAACATCCAAAACGAAAGCTTTTCTTAATGATTTTTTGATAGTGCCTCCGGCGTTTTGTTTCTCGTGAGTTCCAGGAACAATATTTTTCAAAAGAAAAGAAAAGACACACCCATATTTGTTTCTAGTTACCACAAAAAAAAAATGTCAGCCCTGAAAAACGTAGTGTAGCCATTCGCGAGACGGAAAACTTCAGCTATTTTTGACCTTTGATTTGTCAATATCTCCCAGATGAAAGCGTTTAGGAGTTTTGAGTCTATAGCAACTTTTGGTCTACTCATCAAGATCTATTTATCCTGAAAGTTTCAAAAATTTTCATCGAACTGTTCTCAAGAAACCTCGAAAAGGGGAGAGGTCCCCCTAAGAGGACGTTTTTTGGAACTTATTCAGAAAATAAACCTTGTCAAAAATCAAAGTCAAATGGACGGTAGATATGTTCCAATTTTTCTGAAATGGCCCGTATAAAAAAACATGTATTTTTAATTGAAATAAATATCGACACTAATTGAATTATTTGATTTGATCGGAAAGAACAGAGAAAAAAGATTTACCACCTACTGTCCCACACAAGATACTAAACGACAAACAGCATGTATTCTATAGATGATTATAATTATTGAAATCATTTATATTGTTTAAATTATAAAATCTTTGTTTTTTTCTTCTGATCATAGTTATACATTTTCATAAAACTAATCCATAAGTATTTATCAATTTGATATTAAAATAGAAATTATTATTTATGTTGATAGCAGATATAAAATATTAATCAAGAATAAAGATATTTCATTATTTCTTGTTGAAATCAATGTTGAATAATATATTGCTATTCTAGATTACATTGATCATGAGTTTTATCAGATTAATGAACTTTGACAATTAGACGTTGACATTGATATTTTTTGACTAACTGAACTTACATTTAGATTTCCGAATATTGCTTTTGCATGTCAACTTCATTTTCAATCATCCGATTAAAAAAATTTAATCAACATACTAAATTAAGGTTGTCAATCTATTTTGATATATATAATAATATAAATTTCTTATTTATTTGTATTATAAAAGATATATATATAATACAGATTTTTTTATTTCATATTACTTGTTAAACTTATTTAGACAGTTATCTAATAAATTTTTGTATACAATATTCAATATCAATGAAAATTTATTCGATTTGAATAATTGTTTTTAATTGTTTATAATTTATTCAAATCTATTTATGATAAATAAAAGATAATATTGATCCTTTGTATATGTTAAATATGAACAGAATCTTGTATAATTTTTTTATAATGTTTTTTTAATCTATAAATTGTTATATATTTATTTATGTATAAGAAGAATATAATTAAAGATAATGATATACATATAAATAATAAAAAAAATCAATTGTTGAATAGATAATTGAATTATCGTACAAACAAGGAAAACGAATGAAACAATCATTTTTAATCGGCACCTACTACAATAAATAATATGTCAAAATTTTCTAATAGAATTTTCAATGAATTTATAATTGCTAACAATCCTTTTCTTTTAAATTATTTTTATGATGATGTTTTCCTTAAAATAAAACAAGCAATTTTCTTCAGGTTATTAACAAACATACACAACCGATAGTGTGTCAATGTTGACTGCTGTATGTATGTGGATGTGTAGTTGTGTATTCTTAACGATATTTTTCGTGCTTGATGTTAGATGAAGCAACAACTCAGCGGAATAGATGTTCAATAAAGAAAACTAACATAGATAAAAAAGAAACGAGAAAGAGAGAGAGAGAGAGAGAGAAAGAATGGTTCCGAGAGGATGGGTGTGCAACACATTCAGTTAAGCCTGATAGGCTCTTTTATTCTCGCCTTCGTCTTCATATATTCATGACTATCGAGACAACAACGATGTTTAGTTTTAACCACGCATACAAAAATTTATTAGACATTTTTTGTCTTATCCTTTTTCTTTTATTCATACTTGCGTTAGCTCTCTTATTCTCGCTCTCAGTATCTAAATCTACATACTATTGGCGCTGCCTACGTATAGCGACTTCTTATTCATTGTAGCGCACACTCGTTTGCCATTAAGAAAGAGAAAGCATCCAATGTTGCCATGTTCAATATTTTCTCACTAGTTTTTATGACGGCAATCCAAAGACAGAAAGAGAAGAACAAGAAAGAAAGAGAGCGGGAAACAACTCACTCGTCATTCATTCATATGGCAACAGCGCAAATCAT